CAAATACTCAAATTTGCAAATGTCTAAACGTCAAATTCCTAAATCTGAAAATTCCCTGTCTTTCCACTTCATAATTCCTTAAATCCACAAATTACATTTCCAAGCTTCCAAATTCTCAAATCATTAAATTTCTGAATTTCAAAAGTCTTCAATCCCTTAACATTTCCCAGAGATACTTAAATGTAATCGGAAGTATAAAAACTTAGACCTCGCCATATTTGTTTATTATCCAAACCTAACCTAACTTAATCATAAACAAACTAAGCTCTTATTTATTTTAAAAATATAATATTTTCCTTTTAATTTACTGAATTATTAATAAAAATAAGTGTCATAATGTACAATAATTTACGATAATTTAGTCTTTTATTTTATCGTTTTTCCAAAATCTTGATTATTAGCGACTCCAAACGTGTGGACACCCGACAGTCCTTCGCGGGTTAAATTGAGCGCGCTATAATGGATGTTGACATAATTATTTGAAAATTTATGTAATACTCTGTTATTTCATAAAGTTTCTAAATAATGCAATCTGCATTAGTTCACATTTATCAATTTGACAAAATAACACTTGGCACTTTGACAGCTGCTATTATGTATTCGCGATTATCATTCTTACATTTTCACGCCATTGTTCGTTACCTTCAATGTACAACGCATTTTAATGACACCTTTAAGCACTACTAATTATGTGTGTTGTACTTGCAGTCGCTATTGAAGCTCTCATTTATTTTTACGAAAATACTATTTTTAAAATACAGGTTATTGGCAATTACAGTAAAAGTATACTAACTCCGTTGTTCAATTTATTCAGTTGGAAATTTAAGAATTTGTGAATTTAGACATTTGAGGGTTTCAAGTTAAAAAATTTGGGAATTAGGGAATTTGTTACTGTAAAAATTTGGGAATTAGGGAATTTGTTACTTTAAAAATTCAGAATTTTGAAAATTTGAGTGTTCGAAAATTTGGAGGTTCAGAATTTGGAAGTTTGAAAAGTTAGCTTAGAAATGTGGAATTTTAGAAATTTTCGAGTTTAGGAATTTGAGAGTTCAAAATTTAGAAACTTGAGAAAATGGGGATTTGTTACTTTAGGTATTTAGAGTTTTGGAAATTTGAAAGATCATATATGGAAATTTATGAGCTTAGAAATTTAGAATTTTGGAAATTTGAGTATTTAGAAATTTGGGAGTTCAGAATTTAGAAACTTGGAAGATTGGTGATTTGCTACCTTAGAAATTTAGATTTTTAGAAATTAAAAATTGTAGAATAACGAAAATTTGAGTATATAAGAACTTAAAAATTTAGAAATTTTATAAATATTATTGTATCTGTATATTAAGTACTATTTCCATTGATTTCGATATTTTAACATTTGTCCTTGCATTGGGTTTACACTAACATTTTTCCAATATATTTTAAAGAATATTCAACTGCGTTTATAACATGTTACTTCTTTTTTCAAAAAAAGGACCACATTAACCAAAGAGGATCAATCAATGTTTCTAATTCCTGCAAATACGTTCTTAATAAAAGACAAAAAGTAATTATTGAATTACATTTTCTTTTCTGCTGAACTATCTTTAAATCCAGAAATGCACGACTTGCATTTCAAAATGCAGAAATCCATAAACTATATAGTTTAAATAATTTTTATTGTCAATATACGCAGTGTAGTCAAGAAAACAGGCATTCCATGACTTTTGAATCATCGTGTATTTAAAATAATTTCTTCATCAACAAATCAACTTCGAGATGCTGAATAATCAATACCTTGTTCATTAACTACAAGAATGGGATTTATTCCTTTCAATAAGAAGTTCAAATAACCAGAGTCCAATTATCCATGAGTTGATTAATTGAAAAACGAGATACTAGTGATTGACAGTTTTAGAACGGAGAACAACGTTAATTGCTTCCTGACAAAGTGACTGTTGGGAAATTGAAATCGACAAGCTAATCAATAAACATTTTTTAATAAATCATGATTCATTACTCTACGTGTTCCATTTTGTAATATATCAATTTCTAACTTATATCGTGTTAAAGCAAATTTTCTATCTAGAAAGAATCGTTTGAAGAAAAAAACAACAGAATTATATTCGTAACCAAATGTTGATCGAAACATCGTTAATATTGTTGATATCGTAATTGAATCGTTAATTTTATTTTCATTTTCTCGACTGTTTAATTGTTTTTCAATAAAAAGGTCTTGCTTTAAGGTTCGGTGTAGGAATGTTGATAAGTACTAAATCGCAAAATCTCAAGTGGAACATTTCGAAATCTAAAAGATCTGATATGCTTTGATGACATAAGTTGACGTAAAACAGCACGTATTGATGTTGCTGGTTTGATAAAAATAAGTATACTCGCGTCACATCATTATTTTTAATACCAATTGGCAGATTCTGAACAAACAATAAACAACGATTTAATCAGTCTGATTTTGTTCATCAACGGATATCTAATTTTGAATCGTTCGTGCAATTCCTCGAAATGGTAAAGGAATTTTATATGGAAAATCTACAGTTTTTAAATGTACTTTAGTACGATATTACCGAGAACAAAAATGATTTCAGAATTTTCGCTCTCGGTAATATCGTACTAAAATATATTTAAAAATTGTCAGTGCAAACTATAAAAAAATAATTCAGTATTATTTGTAGAGAATAACATTCACAAATAAAGGTATTTATAGGTTATTAAAAATATCGTTGATTAATAGTTAGACGTTGTTGTTAAAAATAAAGGAAGACATTTAGATTGATGAAAGATACTGCACCATTTTGTGTTTGAAATACAGTAGCAAGTGTATTGTCATTTAAGACAATATGACTGCTTTCAATTAAAAGAGTTCTTATCAATGAAGGGCATTGAAACATAATGCAAAATTGTCGCAGGGGAAATTATTCTCGTTTCGAACACTTGATGTTAGGTTATGTTTCAGTTTGGAATACTTGGTGTTAGGTCATGTTTCAATTTGAAACACTTGATGTTAGGTTATGTTTCAGTTTGGAAGACTTGATATTAGGTTATATTTCAGTTTGGAATATTTGATGTTAGGTCATGTTTCAATTTGAAACACTTGATGTTAGGTCATGTTTCAGTTTGGAACACTTGATGTTAGGTCATCTTTCAGTTTGGAGCACTTGATGTTAGGTTATATTTCAGTTTGGAATATTTGATGTTAGGTCATGTTTCAATTTGGAGCACTTGATGTTAGGTCATATTTCAGTTTGGAACACTCGATGTTAGGTTATATCAGATTATATCAGGACATTTTTAGGTTCCGCATGCTTGAAGGGGGGCAATACCTTTAGGCAGATGAAAATAAGCTGATATTTGTGAATTTTTTTGTATACGACATCTTTGTTTTGCATTTTCGAAATTTCAGGTATAATTTGTTATAACTATTGCCTATTACAGAATATTTTCTGTTTTGCAAAATATTTCAAAATGCCGGAATTATGACAATCCTTTCAGGAAGTGTTTTGGCGTATCTCGTGAATCGGCGTGGGTTTTAGCTTTAGATATATTGGTCTGAAGCAAGTTTGCAGAGAACGTTTCGAAAACTAACATTCACAGTTAGTAGATGAACCTCAGAAATGTGCAAAATATGTAAAATTGAAGAAATGGCACCCTTTTAAAAAAAAACTTTGAATTTTATTGAAAATTTTTGCAATGCTTTGCAATAAAAAGGATTTTAATGTTCAATTTATTTCATACTTTTAGGTTCATATGTTAGATAGTATTGTCGTGGATATGTGCAAAAAATTTGAGCGCGATTGATAAACTAGTTTTTGAGTTATCAGCCACGCCAATTTTAAGAACGTAGCTTTGAGAAAAATGCGGTTAAAGTATTTTACTTTAAATTTTTGAAAGAATATTTTTAAGATGTTAGACTAACATTTTATAGAAAAAAAAATGTTGTAATTTTTTAAGATTCTAAAGGTATTGCCCCCCTTAATCTCGTTGCGACCATCAACAGGACTCTAATAACAATTTAATACCTTCATTCTTACATGCAATTGAATAAAATTTGCAATTTGCAACTTTTATTAGCATTCATTACATAAACATTCGAATCATTTTAATTAACCTCAGGTCGTTATATTTGCTTCTTGTCCAAACAAAAATATGTATTCGGTTCATATTTTTATATAAATATGCACGAGAACATAAAAATCATGTTAAATAAAACTGTGGTGTAGAAACATACCCACATACATATATTCACACATAACATTTATTGAATACGAATGTCATTGACAATCACTTTCTTCGATTCTAGTTTGAAAATGGTTTATATTAGATTTTGATTTACCTTGTAAATTTCAAGAATTCAGTTAAACTTATATTTAAAAAATGAAGTTAACATTTCAAAATTAAAACAGAGAAATGTGAAGGGGTAATAAATTCCAAACTCCATGAAAAATATATATTTAGTAATGTTTGATAGCAAAATGTTAAAAATTTTACCATTTTTTACCAACCTAACCATTTTAGTTTACTCTCGAAAACTCATTTCGTATTGTAGCGTTGTACGAACCTAAAACAATTGAAAAAGCTATTTTGTTAACATTGAAGAAAGGCTTTTAGGTAATCCAGAAAGAATCCTTTTTTCCGCGACGCATAGAGCCGCAAAGGACATTGTTGTCTGAGCCAACATTTTTTTGAAACAGCATCGGGCACATTCCTGTTTCGAACATCATACAGTTGGATAATGTTTCACTCTGTATTAGTGTTACAGTGTGCTCATTGTCATTCCGTGCTCCTGTTAACCTGAAGAATTTCACTTGCCAGATCCTTTTGCACTCCCTTTACAAACGAACCATCGAAGCTCAAAGATTTTCAAGTACTTTGAATCTTCCTGTACGGTGAATCATAAAGGAGGATAATTGACACGTCACCGTGGCAATTTCAATAAGGAAGGAACATATAACAAATCTTTTAAAAAGTACAATAAAAATTTCTCAACAAAAATTAATATTTTAACAACCGGCTTTATTGTATGAGACCAATGTTCAAAAAATAACATGTTAAAAATTTATTCAAATTTTGTTCAATATTTTATTATATACCGATTACATTATTAATTCCAAATCTAGTCAAAAACTTCTATCAATTTGAAACAATTCTCATGTTGAGTTAAAGTTCAAGGATCAATCAATTAACCTCTGGCGTACGGAGATTTCGAGTTAGTACTCAAGTAGTATGTACCCCTGATTCTGGAGTTCGGTGTAGCACCACCCATAATAGCAGCTGCGTTAGAATTACATCTGCCACTTTTGAAATTATCGTAACTGTTGCATGCGCGACCCACGAAACGATTGCTATTTATGGATTCGGCATAGAATTCGTGGGAGCGTGAGTGGGAACAAGATTCGCCTAAGTCAGCTCCGCAGCCACTTTGTCCGGAGCCACCGTTCGGGTAAAAGTCAGCATCACCCATCGAGCTACCCATACCCACCATATTGCTTGTGTGGATTACTTGAACGTAAGATGCGTCTCCTTTATGAAGAGACTGGCCTGGTCCAGTTCCATGGAAGTTGGGACCAGCTGGATCCATAGCTGTCACACAATGGAAAATTGATTACGTATTTGAAACAAATATTCGATATTTCGCAACGCAATTCCGTTTTGCATCAACATTCAATATGTTAATTTCAACTAAATCAACAGGACAGATATTACTTTGAGGATGGTTTAATTGAGATGGGGATTTAGGACAAGTATGAAGAATGCTAGGGCATGAGAATATTTGATTTAATAAGTCGGGAATTTGGAGGTTTAGAAATTTAGAGCTCGAAAGTTTGAATAATTGGATATTTGTGTGGCCAGGTACTTGGGCAATTGGACATTTGGTTATTTGAACACGCGAGGACTTTGAAATTTGGGGATTTGAGAATATCACATGTTGATAACTGGAATTTGAAGGACTCGAGAATCCAGAATGGGAATGTAAGATTTTACGCGTTTTGGACTTTAATTTTGAAGTATGAGTATTTGGTAATTTGAGAGTTTGGAACTTGTAGAGTTGTGTGTTTGGACATTTGCGAACTTGCTGACTCAGAAATTTCAGAAGATGGTTATTATTTGAATTATAGAATAAACAATTATTGAATAACAAAAAAGAACTTTGTTATTTTTAAATTTTATGACTCAGAAGTCTTGCTATTTATCAAATTTTTGAACTTATGAACTTGTAAATTTTTTAAATTCAGAAAATTTGGGGATTCTAATCTCGGAATCTGAATAGTTGGAAATTTAAAAATATTGAGATTTAGGAAATTTTGAAATTTGTACACTTACCAACAACACTGGCCACTTTTTTATGTGCATAGTAAGATGAAAGTCCAGCAACATGAGCACCAAGAGAGTGGCCAACCACGATCGTTTTAGATACATCCAATCCTTGTGTAGTAAGAAAATCGATCATGCGAGCGACAAATTGGCCAACTTTTACAACCTGATTACTCGTCCAGACGTATTCGAATTTCGTTATGCTTCCCCAGTCCACTACGATAACGTTATAATCTCCATTTTGCAGGAATGCTGCAAAGTATAAATGGTGCTGACTAATTTTCTTCTGTTTTAACGCTCCTTCGTTTATAATTAAACTAGTGAATATAGAGTTTCAAATTAAATTATAAATATTATTAAAATTACATTGGCCATTGAAGACAGTTGATGTTGTAGATTTAGAGATTAATTTTCAATATCTTTAAAAATATTTCTTATATCGTATGTTTTCCATTGTATTTGTAAATTTAATTTAGAGATTTCTGAATTTGTAAACTTCGAAATTCAGAAGTATGGAACTATTCAAATTCTCGAATTCAGAAATATAGAAATCTTTAAATATTCAAATTGAGAAATGAGGGAATTTTCAAATTTTCAAATTCAGAAATGTAGAAATGTTCAAACATGAGAATTCAAAAATGTAAAAATCCTTAAATTCCGAAATCCGGAAATGTTCAAAATTTCAAATATCCAAATTGAGAAATGTGGAGATCTTCAGACATCCAAACTTAAAAATGTCAAAAACACTAAATCTTGAAATTCAGAAATTTCAAATTCTCAAATATCCACATTCAGTAGTATAGATCTTTCTAAATATCCAAACTTAGATTTAGAAATGAAGAACATCCCAATCTTGAAATACAAAAACGACCAAATGCATAAATCGTATGTAAATGTATAAACCGTAAAATAAAAATACTAAACAATATATAAATTAAAAATTTAACAAGAATATGTGAAATTACCATCGCGGATTGAAGTGCAAGTTTTGCTTTGACCAGAATTTTGCCATCCATGGATCACAAACCTAGTCGGTCTTCTTGCACTAAAATGGCTGCGTCCCACGCTGTTTGCATCGCCAAGAATCAATTTCTCACCATTAGTCCATGTAGATCTCGTGTACAGATAAAAGAAGACACGATTTGGTAGTTCGGCTTCACTTACACCACTCAAACTTTCGAGTGAATTTGAGGCTATTTTTACTGGTTTACCCTGGTCATTTAGTACGTAGCCATCTTGGATTCCGGCAGAGATGACATCTGACACCAGGACACCTATGAATAATATTTATGTTATTGAATGATGCATTACAATTAAATGCAAGCTGAACTTAAACTCAAGTTAAGTTTAAGTTAAGTTAAAGTGAATTATTATCAAATTATTCAATTTATCTATGAGGTTCGTACTGCCGTGAATGAATAGATTTATTGTCTTTACACTTTTGTATTGTCTTATATTTTTATATTGTCTGTACACTTTTATATTGTCTTCTTGGCGATATATTGCGTATTAAAATTATTTGATTAACATTATAGAAAAATATAATGTGATTAAAACAAAAAATTTATGAATTAACAAAAGAAGTTGAACTATTAAGAAACAGTGAAATAAAAATCGTGCTTTTAAAACAGTGAATTCATTTTGTTAACATAAACATAATAGGGAAAAGTGAATAATGAATAGTGAACAGTGAATAGGGAATAGCGCATAGTAAATAGTAAATAACAAATAGCAAATAGCAAATAGTAAATAGTAAATAGTAAATAGTAAATAGTAAATAGTAAATAGTAAATAGTAAATAGTAAATAGTAAATAGTAAATAGTAAATAGTAAATAGTAAATAGTAAATAGTAAATAGTAAATAGTAAATAGTAAATAGTAAATAGTAAATAGTAAATAGTAAATAGTAAATAGTAAATAGTAAATAGTAAATAGTAAATAGTAAATAGTAAATAGTAAATAGTAAATAGTAAATAGTAAATAGTAAATAGTAAATAGTAAATAGTAAATAGTAAATAGTAAATAGTAAATAGTAAATAGTAAATAGTAAATAGTAAATAGTAAATAGTAAATAGTAAATAGTAAATAGTAAATAGTAAATAGTAAATAGTAAATAGTAAATAGTAAATAGTAAATAGTAAATAGTAAATAGTAAATAGTAAATAGTAAATAGTAAATAGTAAATAGTAAATAGTAAATAGTAAATAGTAAATAGTAAATAGTAAATAGTAAATAGTAAATAGTAAATAGTAAATAGTAAATAGTAAATAGTAAATAGTAAATAGTAAATAGTAAATAGTAAATAGTAAATAGTAAATAGTAAATAGTAAATAGTAAATAGTAAATAGTAAATAGTAAATTATTTCAATGTGAATGAAATTTCAGTCATTCAAATGTCTAAAATTGGAAAGATTATATTTACCCAAAACACAGCTGAACAGCAGGAAATGAAATGCAGCACACATCTTATTTCCCTGAATTTTGCTAGCAGTACCAAGATGAGACTGCTTTATATAGTGATCGATCAAAATAGTAAATGCTCTTAAAGAACGAAGTTTTATTGTTATGCATAAGTTAGCAACAAATGTTACACGATAACGAATAGAGTATAATAGATGTATTGAAACAGCATACAAGTTGTTACAATGAGAACGCAGATGCATTTAACAATCTGCTCTTCATGCAAATATAGAAATCTCATTTAATTCATAAGTATAGTCACTCCTATCATCAATGTGGATATTAATTAATTACAGGAAAGTTAACGTAAATTAAAGCAGAAAAGCAGTCGTCAAAACAGATGATAATGAAAGTGGATATTTAGTACGAACATATTTAATATATCATGTACAACAGCAGGTAGTTAATTAATAGAAGTAATTTTATTTTCTTAGAAGATGAAGTGAGTGCCATATCAATTATAGTAATTATAGTCGTGCAAAATACGTTATATAACGAATAAAAACAGCTGTATACTTACTGTTAGCTTGTGTTCAACAATCGTCAGAGACTATAATTACGACACTTAAACATTCATCACTGAAGTTGTCAACTTGTTAAACTTCGTCAATTTTTGTTCTTGGGACTATAAAACATCTAATAGTTTTGATGCTGTAACTAATTGTTTATACATTTTTCTTTTTAGACTGTTGTTTATACATTTCTCTGTTTCAATCATCATTGAAAATATTTCTCTATTTCAATCTTTACTGAAAATATTTTTCTTTCTGTACTTTTATTGAAAATATTTCTCTTTTCTCAATTTCTTATTGTAGTGTATTTTAAAACAATTTATTTTACTGGGAATGACAGATGAATTTTGCAATATTAAAAAGTTAGGGAAATATGTTTGGAAAAGTACAATCCTTTGTTTATTGTTTACCGATTTTTGTGCTCTGTTGCTGTATTAAATCGAATAATATGGTATTATTTTTACTACCTACTATATTCATATCTTCTATTAATTCATTTAATTACAAATGCTGGATGAAACAATATTGAATTTAAAATAATCGATAATTAATTCCGTGATAGCAGCACAATAAACAATGAACAACTGATTGGTTTATTTGAGCCCGTATCATGTAAAACGTTTCAAATTTTGATTAAATTTATTGTATTAGATACATTTCCTTCGGTACGCCATGAAACAGTTTTAACAAAACATTTAATATTTATCCACGATTATAAAGCTACAAATGTCGATGAAACCCTGTATGGATCACAAAAGTATTTATATTGAAAGAAAATATATTATTAATTTATTCCTATATTTAACTACACTTTACTTTGTAATAAGATTTCTGGGTGTTCGATGTGCAGTTTTACATTAAAAATAAAGCACAACTATAAATTTATAAGGGATGGAACATAAAGTAATATGTCCACAGAAATTAACATACAATTCGACAAAAACATCTGAATAATTTCTGTAATTTAAAATGAGGAATCCAAGATGCATTTTGACGTGTTTCATGAATTCATAAAGGAACATACAGTAGTAAAAATACAGTAATAAATAAATAAAATAGTGTCATTAATAATATTTATTTTCAGCCAGTTTTTATTTGAGTAACTTGTAAATTGTCAGTGTAGCATCTTGTAGATTTCATTGTATCCTTAATTTAAACAAATTGCTGCCGTATCAATTATGGCAAAAAAATTTAATAAACATATGTGCGAAATAAAGAACTCAGCTGTTTGTTAAGACGTTTTATTTCATTGCATTGAATATTCTATATAAAACAATACAATTTCCACCTCTCATCGTAACATAAAATTTTACGATTTTTATTTAATTTTCAGCAGTTTTTAAAATCTAATTAGCAAAAATGGATACACGTAGTAAAACGCATCGACGAATAACATTTTCGAGGAATTCAAAATTTCAAATTTGCAAATTAAGCATACATAATTAATCCAATTTGTAAAACACTGGCTTCACATGATCCAATAACTGGTTCCAGCATAATACAGAAAAATAGTGATAAAATTACATTTATCGACGCAAGATTTTACAAATGAAGCATTATTAACATAACATTTATGAAAGATTTACTTCGTCCGATTTTAAATGAAATTATTTAATTTTAATTGCCCTCTTGTGTTCCACGTTCAATATTTCTAACTGATCACAATTATTCTCGAATAATAACACATTGCGAAGTATAATCTACTTACAACGAATTAATTAATTTCAACAAGTAAAATTTAACAGCTCGTTAACGTATTAATCGGAGAATAAACTTCTGATTAACTCGTTTTACAATGGGGACTTTTTTCTTCATAATAATATTATCACACCTCAAGTAAGTGATAGCAAAAAATAAAAAATATAAAGTAGTAATTGTTTGTATATGTATTAAGAGTTGTATGACGAATCAAACTTAATTCCGATTTTAGTCAGTTTAAGAATTTTATGAAATTCAAATCAGTTTATGAATTTGTCGCGAATGGAGACGTCCATTTTGTCATCAAGTAATACCGACCCTTGACCTTTAAGTTCGGTGTGACACCACCCATAGTAGCAACGGAATTCGAGGAACATATGCCGAATAAGTACTCGGTGTAAGTGTTACAACGGCGAGCCAGAAAACGATTACTGTTTATAGACTCGGCATAATAATGATAGGAACGCGAATGCGAACACGATCCACCCATGTCAATTAAACAACCAGCTTGCATTCTACCACCATTCGGAAAGAAGTCAGCGTGACCTAATTGGTACGGAAGACCAAGAGAGGCACTTGTGTGAATTACTTCCACGTATGTTGCATCTTCTTTAGTCACCATTGAACCTACGTGGTTTTGGTAGAAATTAGGACCGGCTGGATCCAAAGCTGCAAAAAATGTCACCTTCAGATGCTAACGTAATTAGGAAATTACTGTGCTGTTCACGTTAGATATTCAAGAATGTTTTTCCGGTTTTAGGATTGTTAACGCTTTGCTGCGTCGTATGTGACGTTTAAAATGTACAAATCACTTGTATTATTAAGATTTTGTTTGATTACCTAATTGTGGTGGAAAATACATAATTAGGTAAAAGATGCTTGTGTCAACTATTTGAAACTATGAATAATGAATGCGGCAAAGTACTGTGAATATTTGTTAAAAATACAAATTTTTACTGTGGTATTAATTTTACTGTGGTTTAACTGTAATTTTTTACTTTATGGTATTAATTTTTGCATTAGATGTAAGGTGTTAATTGTCAAACTAAATGTAAGGTATTAAATGTAAAACTAAATCTATAGTTTAAAAGAAAAAAATATTGTGAACTGTATTTAAATATGTTTTGAAGCATAGTTAATCCTTTTTATGGACCAAAATCATTTATTTCTGTTGATTATAACAGTAACAACTTTTTAAGTTATTTGTTAATCACTTTTAAAATTTTGACTGATTCACGTCATTTTTGTATTAGTAATTAATTAACTATAATTTTTATATCAGTAGTTAATTAACTACAATTTATATCACTAGTTCATTAAGAAAAATTAAAAAATTGTTAATATTTATAGACTACAAAGTATATGGCTTCCGAATCTCACATGACTTTACGAAACATGGCCAGTTAGTTATAGCAGTATTACACGAAATATGAAATATGATGTTAGGTTCAAAAATGAACATGATGTTTATGTGGATTCTATAAAGTATCTATGTATTTAAGTGATTTATATTTTCTTCGAAATTGTTCAATATTTATCGAAAGCAACTTTAAGTACTAATGAAGTAATTCATCATGATGAACTGCAGGTGTTGCTGTCATTTAGAATAAAATACTCAGTGTCAGTGTGTACTCACCGACAACGTAGCCCACTTTATTCTTTGCATAATAAGATGAGAGTCCTGCAATATGAGCACCAAGTGAATGACCAACCATGGTTATGTTAGACGCACTTGCGCCCTGAGAATCAAGAAAGTCGATCATGCGAGCAACAACCTTGGCTATTCTCCGCACGTGAGAACTTGCCCACATGTAGGGTGTGCGAGATATAAGACTCCAGTTTATGACGATGACGTTGTAATCGCCATTTTTCAGGAATGCTGTAAAATGAGAGCTACATTAATTGTGGAGAGTAGAAGTACACTTTTATTTAAGATCAGAGATTCTAAAGTATTCGAATGTGGCAACTGCGAGATTGATATACTTTGAAATATAGAAATTCTCAATTTTCTAAATTTCCTAAATATGGAAATTTGTAGGTATTCAAATTGGCGATTCTATAAACTCTTAGATTTTTAAATTATCAAATTTTAGAATTCGCAAATTTCTAAATTCTCAAGTTTCAGAATTTTCAAATTTCCAAATTCTCAAGTTTCAGAATTATTAAATTTCCAAATTCTCAAGTTTCAGAATTCTCAAATTTCCAAATTCTTAAACTTCAGAATTGCCAAATTTCCGAATTCCCAAGTTTCAGAATTCTCAAATTTCCAAATTCTCAAGCTTCAGAATTGACAAAATTTTCGAATTCCCAAGTTTCAGAATTATCAAATTTCCAAATTCTCAAGTTTCAGAATTCTCAAATTTCCAAATTCTCAAGCTTCAGAATTGACAAAATTTTCGAATTCCCAAGTTTCAGAATTATCAAATTTCCAAATTCTCAAGTTTCAGAATTCTCAAATTTCCAAATTCTTAAACTTCAGAATTGCCAAATTTCCGAATTCTCAAGTTTCAGAATTCTCAAATTTCCAAATTCTCAAGCTTCAGAATTGCCAAATTTCCGAATTCTCAAGATTCAAAATTATCAAATTTCCAAATTCTCAAGTTTCGGAATTCCCAAATTGCTAAATTCTCAAGCTTCAGAATTGCCAAATTTCCGAATTCTCAAGATTCAAAATTATCAAATTTCCAAATTCTCAAGTTTCGGAATTCCCAAATTGCTAAATTCTCAAGTTTCAGAATTCTAAAAATTTCCAAATTTTCAAGCTTCAGAATTGCCAAATTTCCGAATTCTCAAGTTTCAGAATTATCATATTTCCAAATTCAAAGATTCAGAATTACCAAATTTCCAAATTCTCAAGTTTCGGAATTCCCAAATTGCTAAATTCTCAAGTTTCCAAATCCTTAACTTTTCGAATTATCAAATTTTCAAATTCTCTAGTCCCCACAGTTTTTAAATTGTCATATTTTCAAATGGGCAAGATTTCAAATTTTTTAATATTGAAATTTTCAAGTTACCATTTTCAAAATTCACAAATTTCCAAATTTTGGAATTTCTGAATTTGTAATTTTTCAACCTTTTCAATTCCAATCGTTGAAACCAAATCATTGAAACTTCTATTTTTCAAATTTATAAATGTTCCAATCTCCAAGATCGTTAATTTTCAACTTCCCATATTTAGAGAACCATAGGTTCTATGTATAGGTTTTATAAATATAAAAAAGTTTGAAAAATTTGCAATATAGACGAAATTGTCTATATTATCATTTAGGCATATTAATCTACGCCAGATTGTTAAACATGCTAATATACATACAAAGTGTGCAATTACTGAAGAAAAGAAATATACAATACCATCACGAATCAAGGTGCAAGCTTTGCTTTTATAAGAATTCGTCCACCCATGGGTGACAAATTTCGTTGCTTTTTTCGTATCAAAATGGCTGTTATTCAATCTTTTGACGTCGTCTATTTTTAATTCTTCAGGATCATCCGTTTGTTTGGTGTACAAATAAAAGTCCATAAAATCTGGTAGATATTCTATCTCAATGAGCGGTTCATCGTATGTTTCGGTGAGATCGAGCCTAACTGGCTTCTCGTCGTCATCCAACACGTACAGAAATCTACTTTGTAAAGTTGTGAGATTTGTAAAAAAAAATGCTGAAGCATCTGCAAACAAAATTATTTATATTGAATTTTAATGAAAACAAAATTTGAAAAATCACGGGGACTCATAATACGTAATTCAGAAAATTATTTATATTTTTCAGTGTTACATTTCATTTATTCTGAACTTAGAACATACTATGAGACATTTTATATCATTTATACGATTCAGGAGTTTTTAACTGAAGATGTTTTTTTTAATTTTTTAGGAGTTCACACTTCCTTTTAAAATTACGTTTCAAACTTGATAAATTGAAACTACTTTAAAAAATTATTAAATAAAAAAAAGATTCATAAGTTATTTGTTGTACACATTTTAAGATATGCAAAAGTAATTTTATATTTAACTTTCGTTTTAAAATGGCGGAACGTCAAGGTCACAGTGTTTTTGAGACAGTAATATAACAATAACTGACATGCAAAATAAATGCAACTTTGTTTTACAATTTTTACTTTACATGTGATGTTTGCTAAACATAACAATATGTAATATCATCATCGTCTCATGATGTAAATATTTTTACACAGAATTTCCTGCTTGTACTTGTCCCTTAAATATTCAATTTGCCCAAAAATCAATATTTGCAAGTGGTCGATATGTTTCTTCAACAAATGTTACGTAAAAAGTAAAAATTTTTGATGTTTTGTGTAAAACCGTGTTGCTGTGATCCTGCACCATTGGGTTGCTATTTCAATAACAATCGCAGTGAAACAGTTTCGATACCGTTACCCTCTTGCAAAACGAAAACAAAAAATAAAGGACTCATAACAGAGTTTTTGTTTATTTCATGTTTGTCTCAAAAGAACTTTCTTTAATATATTTTTTCGATCTACGGTTAACTCGTCAAAAAGAAACAAACGAATTCTCATTAATTTATTTGAATCTAAAAAAATGTTAGATCAACGTATTTTATATTGATTGAAAGTAAAAGCGGTAATTTTAAAGATTTTAACCGGGTGTTATAAAATGGAAAATATATTTACCGATGACACTGCAGAGGAGCAGAAAACAGATCGGAACGTACACCTTCATGTTTATTACGATTTCGCTAGTAATTTGGAGCAGAAGCTTGTTTATATAGCAATAGATCAAACTAATAATAACTTGATAACGAAACTTTAACGTAGGTCAATTACGAACAGATGCCACATAATGAACAACAGAATAAAGAAGAATGGTCGGACATATTCGTTTGTTTGAAAAATAAAAATAGCTTTGGGCATTTAGTTCTGAATTCTATAAAACTATCATTATTTTATTAACAGTGATATCTATCACTTTTTTTGCAGCATCGAAGTGTGAAACGTATTTTGCAATTTTTTGTTATTTACAAGTCTATGAAATATACAATGTGAAAATTGTAAATTATTTAATATTCCTTATCTCAACTTCGACATCTTTTGCATAGTTTACACATGAACTTTGTTATAAAAATTAATTTTGTACTATGAAAAGTATGTTACCATTTCTAACGAAACGGTCTATGTTTCTGAAATTAAGTGTTCTACATTAGATGCGTTGAATTAAAAATTATCACATACTGATAATCGATTTAATCTATTATTATTGCAAATTACTTAATCTATTATTTACTTGATCAACACAACAAGTCATTTTAAAAATTAAGAACACGTAATACTAAAAATGAAGAGATGCAGACATTTTCAATGAATTTTGTATTTCAGTTTGACACACCACGAGTGTTCTTTTTACCCAATTTCGTTAATAGATACGTTTTGAAGTCGTTCATCGCTTGCCGACAAGCGGTCATTTTATATTAAAAGCGTTAGCAAAGAATTTAGACATTCTCATCAAACAACAACCTTCAAATTAAACCTTCAAATTGGCACAGCACCGTTTGCAATGTGCCAATTAATATTTATGTCAACAAAGTATTTAAGATTGACTTTTCTAACCTAAATCGAAGTCTAACCTTTCGTAATAACCTAAACTTTGAAATTGAGGATTTACGATCGGGTTTATAGTCACATTTTTCGCAAACGAAACTAAACAATAGATTAGACAGTCAATTATATTAATTACAGTCACATTATGCATATTATGTAACGAATAGGAACAGCTGTGCGCTTTACGTTCGGGTAATTAGATATGTTTGACGCGAATTTGTCCGATATTATAATACTGACATTGAAACATATGTCATTGAAATCAACCGCATGCAAATTGCCTTTTAATATTTGTCATGCAGTATTTCTTTTTTCAGTAGTATATCTTCGTCTCTGTCGGTGTTCACAATTTTTGTGCGGTACAACGTTTAATGCATTTTGTTCTAATGCTTTTGTGACATAAAATAATATACTATTTGTAATGTGTAAAATAAGCGAATTATTGACAAGTTTGTGATATAGAAATGTTTGTAAAAGTGTTGATGAATGTTGTGAGTAAATTCCATTTTTATTATAGTAACTGGAAATGAAGATTGTTATATGTAGACAGTAATTTATTCAATTGAAATTTTCAGTTAGAATACCTGTTATAACATATTATATTCTGTCTATTGATATAAATGCAGATTTGTGAATGAAATAATATTGGACTGCATTTAATAATTAGCGTTTAATTTAATAAAATCTTTAAAATGATCAGTGCCATATTTTAGTTAAATATAAATTCATTTATACATATTTTTTATTGTAAATGTGTAATTCTCTTTACTGTAGTTCAATAAATAACGCAAGCAATTGTAAACAATTTTCAGAAGGAAATTTACATACATTTTGTTGTTTTTGCATCTCACGTGGTATGTAAAACAATATTTATTGAAATGTATCCCTTCTCATTGCATTATAAGTGCGAAGTGAAAGTAAGTAAATGGTGTTATAAATTTTAATCACACGCAGAAAATAATTAATAATACACTTATACATGTACGATAAACTTAATTTTTTTTAAAACATATCAATGTTCATATAAAGTTCAAATGTACATATAAATGTTTACCTAAATTGTAATCATTTGTAACTGTAAAGAGTATAAAATTGATAATACTTATGATACACTGAAATTAATGTTATCTTTTCAATATCGTGAGATCTTGTTTTAAACTTATCGATCAAATTTAACAAACAAAATATTTTATCCATTTAATCGCAGTAAGTTATCATAAATTCTTCCATTGCATAATCAGAAGCAGAGGTAACGAAAATAATCATTTCTTCTCACTGCAGAGGCGTTATAATTATTATGATGCGATTTTATACCGTTAGCAAAGTTTAATCCAGTTATCTTAACAGCGTTACACGGCGCACGTGCAATCACCTTCGGGGTACGAAATAAACGATCGAAAGAAAAAATCTCGGAGTTATAAGTTCAACACTTTGCGATCGTAAACCTTAACCATCGCTTCGCTACATTATTTAGAATAGTGAGAAGAATAATTAGAATATTTCTGAATCTATGTAGACCCGATGAACTCGAATTTCATAGCGTTTTTTCGCACCTCAACTATGTTTGTAAACACGTTGCATAAGAACTACATTCTTTTCAATATCGTAAAGTCGCTCGAAAGTAAAAATATATAAAATGGAGTTATAAAAGCAATAAATTAAGCGAAGGTCACGAAACGCATTTAAAGTATTTTTTAGGTAAAATTGGAAAGGTCCATTATTTTTATTTTAGCATTGTGAAGTTATATTACACTGGACTGAATATTAAGATTTTAAACATGAAGTTAAGTTTTAAACATAAAATATTAGAATTTGTATCGTGAGCTTAAAATTGCTTTTATGGTATATAACAATAATTGTTAGCAGGATATTCAAACTTGAAACAAATTGGTACTTAATTTTTGAACAGATTCGAGTATATACATGTTGTAAACACGTCGAATTAATACTTGATGTAAATTCAGTGAATAAATACATCATGTAAATATATGGAGTAAATCTGTCATGTAAATATATTGAGTAAATTCATTGTGTAAATATATTGAGTGAATCCATGATGTAAGTGTATTGAGTAAGTACATCATGTAAATACGTTGAATAAATATGTCAGCTAAATACGTTTAATGAATACATCATGCAAATACATTGAGTAAATACATCATATAAATACACTGAACAAATATATAACGTAAATACATCGAATAAATACATATTCATAAAAAAATTAAGTAGGATTTAGGGCAAGGAAATTTTAACAAGATTTCAAGATTTCTACGAACAAAATGAAAAATTCTTTATTTTACACATAAAATTCTACATATAAAACAATCTTTGTACACACTAACATTTCATTCTCCAACACAAAATTGAGGGGTTTATTTGAAAAGATGCAACTGCCATATTTACATGAAAACTAGTTTTTTCTTCGCTAGATTGCTAAAGTTGATTGATGGTACAAAAAGCTAGCAGTAAATTCACAAGTGACACGTATCTCTATTTCAAATTGCGCCCTGTTATTTCAAAAATTCACGCCCTAGTCAGATCTCAACTATTAATACATCCAGGTAACTTCCTCGGTGTTAACTGCCTACTCTTTAGGCGAGTAATCTGAGTAGGTTATTCTATTTCTGGTACGTATTCACGTTCACCATTTCATGTCTCGTGATTTATGAGAATGTCAACTATTGGTAGCACTATTTGTTTGTAACAAACAGATGTACCAATACTTTACATATTCACTGAATGAATTAATTCTTTGAGTGCCGCCGTAGAATCACCCTATAATTATCCTACTGCTACTTAGACTGTTTAGTTATAACTGAAAAAATTCAGTTAATCTTTTCAATTTTCAGTACAACTTTCGCTTAATCAGATTTTCAGCAAGACTGAGTAAACCTAAATAATAACTTTCATTTTGTTTGATCTGCTTTAACTACTTTAATTTGCAACATAATGTTCCTCTAAAATGATGACAAATCCAAGTAAACCTAAGTGACACTCAAAGAATTAAAGAAACTCGATAGTGGAGGTCGGTTTTCCCATTTCCATGTTTACGAATGGTAACCTAATCAAGTTCGAAGGCCACATTCTTCGCATACGGTGATTTCGAGTTTGTGGTCAAGTAATATTTTCCTGAAGCTTTAGTGTCTGGTTGAACACCACCCATACGTGCGACATGATTACTATTGCATTTTCCACCTTTGTAATCAGAATAACCGGAACAACTTCTAGCCAGAAAGCCGTTGCTATTTATGGATTCGGCAAAAAATCTGTAAGATCTAGCGTGAGAACAGGAGCCACCCAAGTCTACCGAGCAACCGTTCTGCGTTGAGCCACCGTTAGGATAAAAGTCAGAATGGCCGAGTTGTTTGTTTAAGCCGAGAAGTATGCTCGTATGGATTATTTCAACGTATTTCGCATCTTTTGCCGAAATCCTTGAGCCCTCACCGTTTAGATTATAGTTGGGACCGGCTGGATCCAGCCCTGAAAGGAATAGTAATTTTGAATAAGATTGCTGAAATACAGGATTTATTGTAATTTCCAAGTATCTTCTTATGAGAATTCTATTAGCAGTTGAAGTTTGAATTATTGGAAACGTGAAAATTTAAAGACTTATTTGCCAATATTGGAAACTGAAATTTGGTAAGTTTGAAAAACTGGAAAGATGAAAATTTCGATATTTACAAATGTCATTATTTCAGAATTTTATTTGCTAATGTCGAAAACAAAAATTTGGTAAGTTTGGAAAGCTAGAAAGCTGAAAATTTCGATACTTGCAAATTATCTTGGAATTTAAATATTCTAAAGTTTGGAAATTTTGAGAATTAGAAAATTTGGTGAAATTTGAATGTCCACTTACCAACAACGTAATTCACTTTGTTCTTCGCATAGTAGGATGAAAGTCCAGCAATGTGAGCACCAAGGGAGTGACCAACAACTGTCACATCGGATGGCTTCATTCCATGCGATTCAAGGAAATCGATCATCTTACCAACGAATTGTGCGATACTCACGACCTGCCGGCTTGTCCATAAGTATGGTCTTCGTGATATGCTACTCCAGTCGACCACGATCACGTTGTAATCGCCGTTTTGAAGAAAAGCTGTAAAGCACGAAATTTAACTCTGAAGGATAGAACAACTCGAACTTTTTATAAAATTGCATATCATACATGTAAGATGCAAAATTTGTACACATTCTTTTTATTTATATTCATGTATTCAGGAAAATGATTACTATAACATTTCAAATTTCAGTACATTATAGACGTGATCTTGGTTTAATTTTTATAATGCTATCAATCAGTCGATAAAGATCGATCGCGATAATCAATCTTTCAAAAATAGGAAATGATCTATAGCAAACCATGAAGTGCAGCAACATTGGATTGAGATTAGTTTAGCTAATCATACTTGGACTAAATTGAGACCAAAAAGTAGGTATCTGTCCTTCTATTTCATTGATATGCAATTTTATCAAACTGATAAGAGATTAATTTCGTAGCATTTAAAAACTTGTTATCGTAATAGAGGATTACGCAAATAATCAATTAATCGTAAAAATATTAATTCGTCTCAAGATCAAAATACCGTCACATATGTGATTGCATTATGTATTTTTAATTTTTTGTCAAGAGTACACCATATTGTTCAATCTTGAGACTTAAAGACAATTCAAGATCATTGCGAGTCAAATTTATTTTTGCAATTTATCTATCATTAAACTAATATACATTTATCAAGAAAAATTTTAACTAAGAACAATAAAGTTATTTTAAAGCAGTAATTATGAGAAAATATCAAGTATGAAAAAATTGAACAATTTATTGTTTGTAATAAATCAAAAATAGTTCGTAAATCGTTTTGAAGCGTTTCATAATTCAACCAATACGTAACAAGTTATTTCATGCTGAACTGACAAAGTGACCGAGTACTGTGGCAATTATTGTGACAGTTGCAGTTATTTCTACTGTGACAGTTATTGTGACGATTAAAGTTATTTCTACTATGGCAATTATTGTGATTAAAGTAGTTCGAACGTTGTTCGTGATTTATTATGAAAGAAAAATGTAGTACATACCATCACGAACTAAAGTGCAAGCTTTGCTCTTTTGAGAACTTATCCATCCGTGGGTGACAAACTTCGTTGGTTTCTTCGGATTGAAGTGACTTTTGGCCAAGCTGTTGCTGTCTCCAACATGCAATTGTTCCGCATTTTTCTTCGTGTTCTTCGTGTATAGGTAAAAAAGAACACGTTTCGGCAGGTCATTCACGTTTACGTTTGGCTCGAAAGAAGTCTCAGTCAAATCAACTTTTACTGGTACATCATTGTCATCTAACATATAGAGATCCGTTTTTACTGCCGCTCCAACGGTGTTACTTAAAACCAGAACACCTGTGAACAACAATGTCGTGTTGAATTTTAATAATCAGCTGAGAGATTTACTTAATTTAATTTAAGAAATTAAAATCAGAAAATCATAAAATTGCAATGTTTCCTTGTGTTATATTTTCTGTAAGAAAATATCTGCGATATAAATTTTGTTTAAACTTATGTGTTGAAATATTAATATATGACAATGTACAATTTCAGATGATTCTAAATCTCTGTTTCTGTTTTAAATTCTGAATTTATTTATTATATTTATTTTTATTTAGAATTAAATTTAGAATGAAATTGCTATTATTGTAAATTATATTAACTTAATTCTGAATTTGTGTAATTCAGAATTTTACAATTCAATTCTATTCAGTATGCTTATAATTTTTCTCCTTTTTTTGTGTTTCTATATGAAGCTAATGCTTTTCGAAAGGTTTCGTCTACCACTTTGATTTTCTTTAAGTACTTATTCTCATATAATTGTGTACGAAGTTAATTTTGATTATAAATGTGTCATTATTTCTTCAGAAACTAAATAAATCAATCGTATGGCTGAAATTAAATTTTGAATTAATACTTCAGAAGCAAAATTCAGTAGTAAAGTTTGAAATTATTGTGTACTACTATCAGGCACATGTCAGCTTAATACTTGAGTAATTAATCACATGTTTAATTAATGATCTATCTATATAAAGTTAAGAAACGTAAAATAAAATACAAGATTGTATAAAGTATTTAATAAGAAGCAATAGAAACACAATGCATACATAGTCGACAGTAATTTTTAAAATACAACTGCTAAAACAGTAATCGTCTCATGTATCGCGTATTAACAAATATTGTCTTGTAACATAAAATCTCTGTAATGACAATTTCACAGTAAGAAGCAATAAAATACAATGCTAAACCGTTGCGACATGAAAATTTCAAAGTAATAGGAATACTTCGATTCTAAAAGGGTTGAAACGGTTCTGAAACGATTAATATAATAAATGATTTGTTTACCAACGACACTGCTGAGAAATAAGAAACCAATTGGAGCGGGCATCTTCATGTTTGCTTCGATTTTGATTGCAGCATCGAGTCGAGCCTCATTTATAAAGCGGGATTGATTGATGAATCCGATCACAGTATTGATAAGATAAAGATTCATTGTTTTGTATTATTTACGAACAAGTTGTACGACATTGAATTGAGAATAAAGACGCACTGTTGACATGAAACACGTGAGATGAGATAGAGTCATTATTAAAAGATGCTAGCGATTTTCGCAAACATTGCGACGTAATAAACTAAATTCGTATGTCGTCATATTAATACGTAATGCGTTGTACATTTCTTTTTTAATATTCTATATTTTATTATTTTTGCTTTACGTTTATAATAATTACTTTTTTCTACAAAATAATTTTCAGAAAACTGTATGAATCTTTATTTCGTTTTTTTAAAGAAAATATCAGATCCTGCTAAAAATTTGAGAAAAGGCCTACGTTACAGTACGTTTAAATCGTAAATATCTTTTTAGATATTAACTCTACAATAATAATGCTTATGACAAAATTTATAGTTTAGAAAATCCTTTACAAAAAAGTTTATACAAGTTTTTTTCATAGAATTAACCATTTCCGCGTCAAGTTCTCAATTTTCATATTTCTAACAAGAGAAAATCGCAACGTAATTTCCGAGTTCTCAAATAAATTCAGACTAAAATTGCAGGGAACAACACAATAGAGTATAACTTTAAACAACATAGTAGGGATTAAGTAAAAACAACATATAATTTTGCTCGCAATAAACAATTTTTAATAAACAAAACTTCAAATATTTCATTCGTGTACAATATACAGTGTATATGACTGTAATTAAAAGTAAGAGTCCGCGAGAAAAAATGCGAAATAAATTTTTGTCAAGTAAAGATTCATTTTCAAGAAATTTTAATATCCCATCAAGTTACCATAGTTGACCAAAACCTAGCCCTTCGCATATGGTGGTTTAGGGTTCGTATACAAGTAATATTTTCCTTTAACTCTGAAATCCGGCGTGACACCACCCATGTGAGCAACAGCATTCAACTTGCAATTACCGAACACATAATCAATATAGCTGCTACACTTCCGGGCTAAAAAACGGTCGCTATTAATAGATTCAGCGAAGTACTCATGAGAGCGCGAATGAGAACACGATTCGCCCAAGTCGATTCCGCAACCACTTTGCACTAAGCCGCCATTTGGGTAAAAGTCAGAATCGCCGACTGGATTGTATTCGCCGAGATCTTTGGTCGTGTGGATCACTTCTACGTATTCGGCAAAACCTTTCATAAGTTTCGATTTTTGTCCGAAGAAATTATAGAGAGGTGCAGCTGGATCCAAACCTGAAAAACGTTATTTTGAAAAATTTGTTAGACTTTTCCCTGCAACCAGGTTTTACGTATTCACCAACGACGTAGTACACTTTATTCTTCGCATAGTAAGATGCGAGTGCGGCAATGTGGGCACCGATGGAGTGGCCAACGATGGTCACATTTGACGCGTGTAGTCCTTGCGATCCGAGGAAGTCCAGCATGCGGGCGACATATTTAGCGATCGGCACGGTATAACCGATCGCCCGTACATATGTCAACTTCGATATGCTACTCCAGTTGATTGTGATGATATTGTAGTCGCCATTTTTTAGGAAAGCTGCAGAATACGTTAATAATCATTTTTATGCACGGAGTGTCTCGAGCTTTTAGTATATTTCTGTATATGTATTTCTGTATGTGTCTTGTTTTGCACGTACTGTAATTGTGAGTATACTATACTTCGTGTAAAAATGTTAAATTAGAAGCAGTGCATAAATTGTTATATTCAGTCGAAAATCTAGAATGCAATTTTTCAGTATTTTGTTAAAAATCTAGAACACAATATTTCGGTATTAAGATAGTTTTGAAGAAAATTGAAATAGAAATTTTTTCAAAGTGTTTATACAAAATTTGTTTATAGCAAGGATGTTAACAATTTCAGATTCTCTCATTAATTAAACAATTGATGTTTTAAGTCAATAAATGTTGTTCAAATGAAATTGCACTATTTGTAAGTGTTTTTTATAATATTGACCTTATGCATATACTTATTTGCAATTTTGATTAAACGAATTCAGAATTATATCATATTATCAGTAATATCATGATTGATAATATATTTCCTTGATATGAATTATTATCTTGATTAATTTACATCTATCGCTAATAAGAAATTTGTCAAAAATGTAATTTTTTGGACGATGAACAAATTTTTTTAAAAATATTTTTTAATAAACTATAAATTTGTTTAAGAATGAAGATGAAAATTGTGAGACTAGTATATGTTGAAAAATATTTAGAACACCTTTAAGCGTACCTTTCTCAAAAACTATGAGAAACATATTGAAATTTGTAGACATTGCAATAACATACTTTAAGTTTGCATAAAATTGATATTTAAAATTGATATTAAAATTGATATTAAAATTGATATTTTGCTTAAAATTGACACTTGAAAATTAAAATTTTATTAAAGAATGTCAACTGTAAATTTATCACAATACACTGACGTAATTAATGAGCATAATTTTATTGTATAAAAAAAAAAACACGCGAATTAGTCAATGCAGAACAATGTAGCCATAACTCTAGTACTTAATCGATCACACCACCCATCTCTTTAATAAAAAGTACATTTTTATACATAAAACATAGATAAGTCCTATCGAATATATCATTAAGTATCTCACAGTCTATAATCCCTTTCTAATTTCTAATCTAAAGATATAGAGGGATTAGTAGCCACGTGATTCATCAGTTTTCAAATATACGAGAAAGACACTTGAAATTGTCTTCATGTAAGGATAAAATCACACAAAAATTATGGTTATCATTCTAAGATGATATACAGCTTTAAGATTAATATAAAAATATGTACCATCGCGAATCCGTGTACAAACTGCGTTCTGACAAGAGCTCATCCATCCATGAGTAACAATTTTCGTTGGTTTCTTCGGGTCAAAATGGCTTCTCCTCAGATTGCTGATGTCGTCAACGTACAAATTTTCGGGAGTATTGTTCGTATGTCTTGTGTAGAGACGAAAGAAAACATGATTCGACATATTAATGTGAGGTAAAAATGATATTCCATTGTGGATGGATAGATCTAGTTTGACCAGTTTATTATCGTCATCTAATACGTAAAGATCCTTCGTTTCCAACGTCTTGATATTTTTGTCATCCAAGATCGTAACATCTGCAAACGATATTTGTCGATAGTTATTGGATTTAAATCATATTCGCAACTTGTCTTAGCGTATTCTATACAAAATTATTCTTGAGAAAAATGAGTTTGTGCGAGTCAAGCGCCATCTTTGTAATGAAGAAAAGCAGTGAACTGTTTTATATGAGATTCATACTTTATCTGCAATGTTAAAGCATTGAACGAAAATTGAATTTCAACTAAAACAGTTAACTAGAGTTTCAACTAAAGTTAATTTATAAAATTATACAGAAACTGTTCGTTCAATGAACACAAATATTACATAAAATTAAATCACGTAACTGCATTTGTCTTTTCTGTACAATTACTCAATTAGAAGGAAAATGAAAATGTTTGAGAGTAAATCTCTCTTCAATTTCTATAGCGACATATTTAATCTGTTGCCGCAGAAAAATTTGACTTTTAATCTTAATGGTACACATTTATAGAAAGGATGAGAAACACCGGTTTAAAATATACTTGGGAAATCAACGAACTTTGTTCGAGTAAAGCAGAATATTATGAATTTTAATTATTCATACGATTTGATTCTGAATTATTTCTTAAATTCAAAAACTCGCACATTTGCGACGTGAAAGTTCGGTGTTTAATAGAAAGGAATGGGAATGAAAGTTTGTTTATTCAATTGCAAATGCGAAATATCGTAAAATGAAAGCTTATGGGAAATTTTAAATAACATATGATTAAACCTTCAGGATCAACGATTTTCAATGTATTTGTTAAAAGCAACATTATTTTAATAGCAGCAAGTAATAGCAGGTAATAAATAGCGATAACCGAAGTGTTATCATGTTTATTTTTTTGTAAATAACAAACAAAACAATACAGGGATTTTTTTAGTTACCAAAATTAATCAGGAAAAAATGTTCATTTTTCATTGGAGTAATGTAATTTTTTAGTAGAGTATAAAGAGTAATGTGAAGAAGATATTTACCGATGTTGAGAATTAAGAAAATAATTGAAAAGTTCACCTTCATCGTTACCTCCATTTTGTTGAGGGTACAGATATGGCTTCCTGTATTGGAAGAATCATAGGAAAATAAAATAATATTTCATTACTGTGATATCATTTGAGAGTACGTGTTGCACAATAATCAAAGGAAAATAATAACAGATTTTCATAATGTTAAATGTTCATATTCACAAATTTGTAAATTTGTATATTTCTAGAATTGGAGATTTCTGAATTTCTGGATTTCTAGGTTCCAAAATATATGAGTTTATAAATTCTTGAATTTCGAAATTTCTAAATTTTCAGATTTATGAGTTTTTCGGTTTCTAAATTTCCAAATTTCTAAATTTCTAAATTTCTAAGTTTCTAAATCTCCAAATTTCCGAATCTCCAAATTTCCAAATCTCCAAATTTCAAACTCTCCAAATTTCCAAATCTCCAAATCTCCAAATCTCCAAATCTCCAAATTTCCAAATCTCTAAAATTCTAAATTTCTAAATTATCAGGTCTGTGAATTCTCAAACTCCTACATTTCTAAATTTCTATGTCTCCTAATTTTTACAATTTCAGAATATTTAAATTCCTCAATTTCTGAATTGACTTCTAAAATTAGAAAATTTGCGGTCTCCCAGCACTACAAATTTACAAATTTGTAGTTATTCAAACACCTCAGCCCCAAAACATTCTATACAAAAAAATTGCTAAATGTTAAAATATCTCACAATCAGTCCCAAAATTCTTAAATTTTCATATCCCTCAGATAGCAACCGCTTAAACCCAGCGAAGTTTCAAAACTTTTATTTTTCGATCTCCTATTTCGGAAGTATTTTGTACTTTAAAATTTTATAAACCTCTGCATTTTTAACTTCTCAACGTTCTAAACTTTTTCACAAATTTTCATGGTTTTTTAATTTTAAAAATTCTGAAATCCCAAATTCCCTTACTTTCGAAAGTTACATGATCACATAATTCGTATTTTTATGGAATACAACTTTCTTAATATAATATTAAGCTGAATAACTTTTTCTACGTACCAAAGATTGTAAGCAATTTCTATAAATTACAGACACCTCGTCAACTTTTCACTGCATGTCACTTTCCTTGACCAATAACAACTGTTCACTTTGTCGCATATTTATGTTTCTTTACTGCTATCTTGCTAATCTACTAAATTACATTCTTATATAAAGTCAATTGTGAATTAGTAATTAAAAAGGTATATAATTAAAGGAGTAAGTAAAATAAATGAATATTTTTGCAATGCAAATGAGGGTAATTTGATACGAGGATTGCTAGTTAGGAAAGTCTTTATTTGTTACTGATTATCATGATTACAATAATCTTATTCTTTCATGCATGACACAACGTTCATGTTTTATGTATGAAAATTATCAGAAGAAAACAAACAAATTTATTTTTTATCTTTGACTTATCAAAATTGTTTAAACAAGTGAAAAAAAAGAATATTGTAGAATATCAATCTAAGAAAAATATATTATATGTTGGTTTATTTGAAATTATTGTAATGACCTGCAAAGTATTTTGTATCTTTCAAGAATATTTATTTAAAAAATATATATCTTGAAATGAAACAGGTGGTAATAGCTAATGATCGACAAGTTAAGTTCAATTATTATGACAATGTTAACAACAGTATTGTCAGCATGACAATGTTAACAGTATAATCTAACAATCAAGATAGATCATAAATTTATGTAAAAATTAGAAGAACATCAAAAGTACAAACATATAATAATTATGTATAATATTTTTATCATATTTTTGACGTACGAGGTATTTTTAAATCATGCCACAAATTTTGTGCATATGTATATATATTTACCTGTTACATAATGTAACATAATAATCATATGCTTACCTAATACAAAATTAAACCTTCATGAAATAAGATAACAAAGATGATTCGAAAAAATTCTTGTCCACATTTTCCTTCCTGAACAATTAAATGTCGGCCATGACCATCATTTTGGATATAATTGAAAATAATTTGTTTATATACTCTAATATATGTATACCAGGTGTGACACAAAAGTAACGAGACTAGGTCTGTAGCTTGAAAAAACAATGGAATTGGCAGCAATTGTTTTTGTGGCATCATCCCACATACCTCCTCTATCCATGTTGCCAATTTCGATTGAATCGGTCATACCATTTGGAAGTATTGCATTATTTAGTGAACATGTGCAACTGCATTCTGCCGGAAAAATGCCTAACGTAAATACCGAACAGCGAATAAACATCAAGTTTCTTGTAAAATTTGTTGAACTCTGTTGTAACATGTGATGAGACATGGATTTTTACCTAT